GACTATGTAGGTGCTTCCTTTCACCAACTCTCTTCCCCTGCAGGTCCCATGACCTGTACCATGCCGGGACTTCTCTTCACTGACCTCCCTCAGTGGCGGCAGCTCTTGTCAAGGCCACCTGCCTGCAACCATGCAGGCCTCTCTCAGCAAACCTGTCCCTTTGGGACAGCTCTTCCTGCCTGCTGGTGTCTATGCAAGTGTCTTTTACTCTTCCATCTCTTGCCCTAATAAACCTGTTCTTTAAATAAAAAAAAAAAAATCCTAAACAATTTATTAGCAATCCCAATCTGGGGTGAGTAAAAAAAAGTTTTAACATAATGTGAAAATGCTGAGTTTTATTTCAGAAATGCAAAGCAGTTTAATATTCAAAAGCTTTCATAATGTGGCCCTGTGACTCTGAGAGGGCTAATAAATCCTCTGTCAGCCTTAGAGAGAGGAGCAAGCTGAGAAAGGGGCAGATCTCCTGGGGAGAGGGGTCTTTTAAGAGGGTAGGCCTATGAAAAGCCCCAGCTTGCATCTTACACACTGCCAAAATGATACAACTCTGAGGTAAGTCCATTTTACAAATGTTAAAACTGGGCCCCCCAGGGGCGCAGCAGTTGAGCGCGCTGGGCTGCAAAGCTGTCCACAGCCTCTGAAGCGCCAGTTCAATCCCCAGCCACCGGGCGAGGGTCCCACATGGTGAGCAGACCTCTCCTGCTGCGCCCACTGCTCCCCTCAGCAGTGTACTTCATCAGTCTGCCTGTTGTGTTCCCGGCTCTGGTGAATTCTCTCACCCTCCCGTGCTTCTGACTGTACCCAGTGCTTGTATAAATAAATAAATAAATCTTAAAAAAAAAAACCCAAATGTTGAAACTAAAGCTAAGTTTAGGAACTTGACCAAGGTTACAACACTAGTAAATACTTGAGGTGCAATCCAAATTCAGGTTGGATTGTTCATGTTCGTAACCATTATGCTATTCACTCTTTAACATTGATAGCAGTAGGGTGATCAAGAAAGGGTGGTCAGGTGCCAGGTACTCTATATGTGCCATAACACCCACAACAACTGTCCAAGGTGGGCATCACTTATTTTTCTGATGAGGAAAGTAATGCTTAGAGAGGCCAGGTGACTTGGCTAAGGTCACACAATTCAGACAGGGAGGTTCCATGCTTTGAGGCTAGGTCTACCAGACCTGACAACCCACAGGTCCTAGATTATTATGGGTATGAATGAAGCCCAAGAGGAGATGAACCCCAATATCTGAGGACAAGTTGGGCAGGCCTTGTCTATTCTCTTAAAGATAAAGATCTCTATGCCATGGCTGGTGTCTGAAGTCAGAAAAACTCTTCACAATGACATCTCCATACATGTGGGTAAGGGAGAGTCCATGACCTCCACGACAGTGAGAATCGCCCAACTCAGGCACATTAAAAACTGGTGTAGAGAGGTTCATGAATAGTCATGTCCAACCAACTTTTCATTATTTTTCTAAATATATAACAGATTAATATGTCAGAAGAAGCCATAAATGCCTTGTGTTTGAATTTTGGTATGTGCCAAAGTGTCTGAGGATGCTCTTGTGGAAAGACAGGTGAATGGTGAGTGTAATTAAGCAAGTTGGTGCACACCATGCTGCTGCCTACCTTTAGACCTTAGCCCATGCTCAGTCTTTTGCCTGGATTGCTCTTCTCTCCCTCCTTTAGTCACCCAGAAGATTCCTACTCATCTTTTAAGACTCAGTTCACATGTCATTTCTTCCAAGAAACCTTCTCTGGTCCCCTGAGTTAGGCTGTGTGTTCATAGTGTATTGTACCAACTCTGTTACTACACTGACCACATTGCTCTGAAATTATAGTTCTATGTCTGGGAACACATCTTGCTCATCTCTATGTCCTTGGTGAGGAGGAGGAGCCTTGACACATAGTAGGTGGTCAACTTTGCTCAACTGAACTTTTAACTGGTTGGAGGGTTAAACCCAGTGTGATAAAAATTAAAGAATTGATGTTGGCCTGGAGAGATCGTTAGTGGCATGCCACAGGGCCCTGTGTTTATTGATGGCATTCTGATGAGAATAGTTGGTGACAAAAAATTCGGGGAGTCACACATTAGACAACAGAATTAGTATGCAAACAACCACTGGCAGACAGAAACACTAAAGCTAGCCTGGTCCCCAAAAGGTTTAGGGGAAAGTCAGGACTGAAACTTCACAACCCATTATAGCCTGAACAATGGGAAAACATATTTTTTAGGTGAAACTTACTTCCCTGCAGTGTCCACCATTACAATAGCACTTAGCATGTGCTATATTTGCACTACCCTCTCCCCATCAAGTACTGCATGGCAAAAAAAACTTAATGAGGATGTGATCTTCTTGGCCTGTGGACCACAAAATAGTTCCTTAAAGGGCAAGGGAAAGGGGGATTCTAGTTGGGACCTGAAGGCCCAGTGAGAGCTGTGGTTTTGGTTTTCACAAAAGGCAGGCAGGACAACACATCTGTTTGGGAAAGAGACAGGTCTACCTTCAAGAGCCCCAGCCATAGAGAATATGGGGTTTTGTTACCACTTTACTAACTGAACTTGCTTCTCAAAAGAGCCTAGGAGTTAACCTCACTCCTTCTTTATAGCCCCCAACCTTCTGAACAATAACAACTCCTTAGTATGGCATGAAAGGCCATCATGCATAGACTAGTTCTCAATGCATTTCTCTCTCTATCCTCCACATTAATCAATTAATTCATTCATTCTGATTATTCCACAAATATTTATTGAGTGTCTACTAAATATTACTATGTACTGTTCTTCTTGGCACGGGGCATACAGCAATGAACAAACAAAATTCTCTGCTTTGTGGAGCTTACAGTCTATTGGGGAGAGACAAACATTAATCACAATAAATAAATAAATGAATAAATAAATAATTCCAGTGGTGATCAGAGCTTTATTGAAAAACATAAGACATAAAATGCTCCTCAAGGGAGGTGACATTTGAGCATACTGCAAGTAGGTAGAAATTCATCAGATTATCTAGGAATAAGAGTGTTTCAGGCAGTGATGACAGCAAATACAAAGGCTCTGACATATTTCAGGAATAGCAAGGAAGCCAGTGTCACTAGAGAACAGTGAATGATGAGAAGAGTGATAACAAATGAGATCAGAGAGGTGATGGAAACAGGTTGTGTAGAGACCTTTCAGCCATGGGCTGTGCTTTGGTGTTTATTCTTAGGGAGCTGGGGGCCATGGAGAATTTTAAGCAGAGGAGGGATATTACATAATTTGGTTTTTACAAATAATTCAAAGGAGAATTAATAATAGATATTAGAACACTAGACAAAAGAAAAAAAAATACTCAGAAAACAAAACGGTCTACAACAAAGGATATATATAGTCAGAGTATATTGTGTGGTTTAGAGGTGAGTAATATGTACAATGTAATATTTATGCAAACAGTGAACAAAAATGTATAAAACGATTAAAGAAACCATAGATGCGACCACAAAGATGAGCAAGCTACAAGAAACTATTAGGGATAATGAAGCACATTAGAAATTAAATATATAGAGATTGTACAAACAAAAAATACAATTATCAAATAAAAATCTCAGTGGCTATATTAAACAGCAAATAAGACATAGTAGAAGAGAGAATGGGTAAGATGAAAGACATACCTAAAGAATTGCTCAGAATGAAGTATAGAAAGACAAGAATATAGAAAATACCAGTGAGATGTTACAAGCTATGGAAGATAGAATGAAGAGGTCTAAAATATGTCTAACTGGATTCTGATAAAGAAAAAAATAGAAAGACTGAAAGAATGGCAATATTTGAAGAGATAATAATGGAGAATTTTCCGGAAATTAACATAAATCTAAAGGCAGGAAGCACATTTCCAAAGGGGAATAAAAAAAGAAATATATGCCTAAACAAGTTAGAATGAAATTTCAGAATCCCCTGCACATCCCCCTTCCAAAAAAAGGACAGAGAAAAGATCTCAAAAGCAGCAAGAGTATGAAAAAACAAAAATACCTATACAAAATAGCAATTAGACTGATAGCAAACTAGAATGCCTATGACAAATTATATTTTAAGAATGAGGATAAAATGAAGACATTTATATTTAACATGACTTGTAAAAGAGTATCTACACATTGTATTCATAATGAAGGAAAGTGATCCCAGCATGTATGCACGTAAATCCAAACCAGTACAATCCATAAAAATAAATTAATGATGATACATAATTTGTGAGGTTAGAAAAAAAGGAATAAACATACTCAAAACAATAGCATATGGTCATGAAACTAATTACTAGAGTTGAAAAATTCTAGGGTTCCCACAGTCTTTAAGAGGAAGGTTAAAATACTATTTAACTCTAGGTCTTATAAGTTAAATATGTGCATGGTAAAACTTCAAGGATAACCACAGGAAAAAAAGAAACAGAAAAAGAATAAATAAATTCTAAAAAGTAAGGAGGAAAATAATTGAGTAATAAAGGCAGCAAATCTGAAAACTAAAAAAGTGGTATGAAAAGAGTAAAATGAAGCATAGAAAAGGCAGTGGTAGGAAATAAAAATAAAAAAGCATGATGGTGGAAATAAATCCAAGTATATCACAGTAAATGTAAACAAGCTAAACTTGCACTTTAAAAGAGTACATCAGATTAGATTCTTTTTTAAAGGTGCAGCTATACGCCATTCCCAAGTGGTATAAATAAAGCATAAGAATGTGAACATATTGAAAAGTAAAAGGATGGAAAATTATATACCACACAAATCCTAACAAGAAAAAACGCTTGTGTTGCTATATTAATGTAAGATAAAATAGACTTCAAGGAAAAATACATTATTGAGAATAGCGTCATTACATATTTACCAGGAATATATATATATAACAATTTTTAATTTGAATATTCTTAATAAAACACCCTCAAAATACATAAAGTAAAAAAAGGAACACGGAGAAATACACTCCACCATCATAGTTGAGTATTAATATACTTCATAATTATTGGTATATCATGATCAAAATAATTAGTATAATTAGTATAGATATAGAAAATTTGAACTTGATAAGACATATGTAGAACTCTGTATTGAACAATTAGAGAACATACATTCTTATAAAGTACATAGGAAACATTCAAAAATATAGATCACATACTAAGCCATAAAACAAGTCTCAATAAATTTCAAAGTTATTATCACACAGATCACATCCTCTGACCACACTGCAATTAAGATAAATTTCAATAATAATAAGATTAATTTTAAATATGCAAACATTTAGAAATATAAAAACACACTTCTATGTAATGCACAGGTCAAAGAAGTAACCATGATGGAAATGTTGAAGTACTTGGAACCGAACAATAATGAAATATGACATATCTGAACTTATAGAAAAGCAGTATCTGGAGGGAAATTAATATAGCATTAAATGCACAAATGAGAAAACAAGGCTAAAAATTAATATCCTCAGTGTCTAAAACATTAGAAAAAGAACAACAGAATAAATCCAAAAAATGTGGAAGGAAGGAGATCAAAAAAGATAAGAGCAGAAATTAAAGAAATAGAAAACAAAGATACAATTGAGAGAAGCAACAAAGCCAAAAGTTGGTTCTTTGAAAAAACTAATAAAATAGACAAACCTCTGGTGAGATTGATCAAGAAAAAAAGTGAGAAGGCACAAATAACCAATATAAGCAATGAAAAAGGAGACATAACTACAGATTATATACAGCAGAGAATAAAAAAAAAAGCCAAGGGAACTTTATGCCTATAAACTTGAGATGACAAAATGAACCAATTCCTATAAAACAATAACTTACCAAAATTGACTCAAGAAGAAAAAGAAACCGTGAACAGCCCTTTAGCTACTAAAGGAATTAAAGTAGTTGTTAAAACTCTTCCTACCCAAAAGTAAACAAACAAACCAAAAAAAACCACAGGAACAAAAAATAGCAGAAGGCAGAATTTTCCAGTTGCTATGTGGATTACAGGCAGGTGAAGAAACACTAATCGTCTCAGTTGTGAAGGTGTCCACGTAGGACCTAAGGCAGTGGAGATCCTGGGCAGAGCACCTGTCTCTATGGGAAGCCCCCTATGGAGGTCCTTAGAGGGTGGTTCTTAATGAAGCTGGGTCTGACAAATCCCTCTGCAGTCCCTGTAGGTGGTAAGCATGAATGAGTAACATCCAGCACTCAGTTACTGCTCTTTGGTAAATGTGCTAAGCAAGGCCAGAGAGGAGGCTATCATGTGGACAACCTATTCAGTAGCCAGTCTCTGTAGTTTTCTGCTCACTGTGGAACTTCTGAAGGAATCCGTGTTTAAGTTTCCAAGAAACACCACACACAGTTGTGACTGGTTGGATGGGGTTGGTGCTTCAAACAGGGACTTCTAGAGGATGTAGCTCCAGGTAGAAGTCCTGGAACTCTGTCTTCACAAATACCAGATTCTTCTATCCATTTGCAGCTGATATGCCCTTTTATTCCAGCTAGCTGCAGGGTGATTGTTCTAACAATGATGTATGTTCTGTAAATAAGAACTTTATCATTATTTTGAAATTGTTACTATGAATGAGTTCAATTAGATTTGAAATCACATTATCACAAGAAATCTTTAACATATCTGTCAGTGAAACACATACACACAAAGCTGTTAGATATAATTTGTTGTTACACATTTTTGAAGAATTGAAAAAAATGGCTTTAAATACTTTACTACCTAGTTGTACAAAGAAAGGCTGTTAAGAATTTGGAACACATCATTAAAAAGTCTTGATCAGGATTTTTGTGTAGCCATACATGTTACTGAAGCAGATTTCAAGTTTGTCATTTAAAACTTTGAAAATATTTTATTTAGCTTATTATTAATTTAATATCACAAAGGGAAATACCAGACCAATATGATTTTACAGGTGAATTCTACCACAGAGATTATTTCAAAGTTATAAAGCATTGTTCAGAATATTGCAAAAGAAGGAACACTTGGACTCATTTTATGATACCAGCAGAACTTGATCCAAAAGCAATGAGAATGGGAAATTAAAGGTAATTTTACTCATGGACACAGATACAAAAAGCTTAAACAAAATATTAACAAACTGAATGTAGTACTAAGGAAAAGATCATGACAAAGTTGTGTTTACAGCAGAAATGCAAAGGTGGCGCTAACATGAGAAAAAATTTATAAATGTCACTTATCACACTATCAGATTATTGGAGAAAAAACCCATATTCACCCTAAGAAATAGATAAGGTATTTGATAAAATATTCAACACCTTTTTATGATTTAAAAACAGTAATAGGGACTCCCCGGTGGCGCAGCGGTTGAGCTCTGGGTTGCAAGGCTGCCTGCAGCCTCTGCAGCGCTGGTTCGATCCCCGGCTGCTCCCCGGCCACCGGAGGAGGGTCCCACATGGCACGCAGACCTCTCCTGCCGCCCGCTGGTCCCCTCAGCAGTGTACTTCGGTCCTTCTGCCTGCTCTGCTCCCCGCTCTGGCTCTGGTGAATTCTCTCACCCTCCCGCGAGTATAAATAAATAAATAAATAAATCTTTAAAAAAATAATAATAAAAATAAAAAAATAAAAACAGTAATAAAAACTTCTTAGCATGGAGGAAAGGATGAAACTTCTTTAATCTGATAAAACCTGTAGACCTCTACAGTATATACACTTAATAGGGAAAAGTTAGTGTTGTTCCCTCTAAAATACCTAACAAAACAAGTGTTCCCACTGCCATATTTTCTATTCAACATTGCACTGAAGGTTCCTGGTCATCTTAGTAAGTTAAGAAAAATAAATTAAAGGCATAAAGATTGGATAGGAAAAAAATAATACTGCCATTATTTATAGTTAATAATTGTAGTTCTATGTGTCAGCATAGAAAAGACAAAAAAGTATATAGAAAACTTAAAAGGAACCAGGGCCCCTTGAGAAATGGTTGATTCCAGGGCTGAGGCAGGACAATACAAGATGAGTAGGAAGCATCTTGTGGTGCCAGCAAGTAAGGATACATTCAAAAACAAAAGGGGGTCTGGACCTCCGTGGCGGTGCAAGGGTTTAAGTCTCAGCACTACCAAGCTATCATCAGCCACTACAGCATGAGTTCAGTTCTCAGTCAGGGAGTTCACTACTGTCTCTGGTGAATTTTCCCACCCGCCCTCCCGCACCTCTGGCTTACACCCCAGTTCTTGTATACATAAATAAATTTTTGAAAATCTTTAAAAAAAGGGGGGGGTCCTAAGGGACATGGAAGCCAACCTGAAAGAGCCCCAGTAGGCAATGCTGAAGCAATTTGAGCAGCAAGACAAATAACATTGTATTGAATTTATAACTCAAATTATTAAATAAATATGCATGAGTTCACACTGATATAAATATGTGACTGAATAACAAATAAATAAATGAGAAGAAACAAGTCTTTTCTTTCTAACTGAAGAATTACAAATAATATATGTAAATGCAACCATTCCTTTTCCCTGGGGGTAGGCAAGATTCTTCCAAAGAATAGATAATGAAAAGAGAAAAAACAGCGACTTTCACTGTGTACAAACCTGGTAAACCCCACTTTCACCAAGCAAACAACATCACCAGTGCTGATATATACTCTTGGCATGTAATGCTAAGAAGAGCACTTCCACTCTGGCATTCTTTGCCAAAACAACCCCAGTCTAAATATGAGGAAAACTTCAACCAAATACAAATTGAGGGACATTCTACCGTACTTCTCAAAACTATTCAAGTTATAAAAAATAAGGAACGACTTGGAAATAGTCATAGACCAGAGAACACTAAAGACACATGACAAATAAATGCAATGTGGTATTTTGAACTGGAGCTTAGAATAGAAGGAAAACTGATAAATCCACATAAGTCAGATGTGTAGTTAACAGTACTATACCAGTGTAGCTTTCTTTGTTTTGACAATTGTACCAGAGTGAGAAGTACAGAAGCTCTCAGTGCTCTCTATTTTCCTGTACTGTAAAATTACACTCAAATTAAGAGTTTGCTTAAAAATAAAAGTTTAGCTAAGTAAATAGATATATTATCAACATAAAAAATCACCTTCATTTCTACACACCTGCAAAAGAGATAAAACATGTTAAGTTACAAGATCTCATTTATAATAGCAGCAAAACAATAAATGCCAAGGAATAAATCTAACACAATATATGAAAGATCTTATACAGAATGACCAAGGTCTACCAAAGGTCACTGAAGAATTTATTTATTTAAAATAAAAGGATATATCATGTTCACAATTAGCAAGACTCAACATCATAAATATATCAGTTCTCTTCAACTGATCTGTACAGATTCATTGCAACTCCAATATTTTTGTAGAATATGACAAACTGATTCTGAAAAGTGTTTGAAATAACAAAGGGCCAAGAACATATGATAATCCCCAAAAGAGTAAGATGGGAATATTTTGTTCCCTCAAATATTAAGATTCTTTAGAAAGCTAAAGCTTTCAAGATAGTATGATACTAGTCTGGGAACAAAAAGTTGGCCCACAGCAGAAATCCGAGAAACAGACCTATGCAGATATGGAACTCTGCTACATGACTGAGGAGGCAGTTCAGATGGAGAGGTCATCCATGTGCAATATAATGAACCCAGGGCCTCCCTGGTGGCGCAAGGGGTTAAGTGCCAGCACTACAAGCTGTTGGCAGCCTCTGCAGCATGAGTTCGATCCCCAGCCCTCTGCTCCCCTCAGCAGTGCATTCTGTCCAGTCTGCCTGTTCTGCTCCCCACTCTGTCTCTGGTGAATCCTTTCACCCCTAGAATCTCTGGCCTGTGCCCCAGCTCTTATATGCATAAATAAATAAATCTTTAAAAAAGAGAAAATAATGAACCTGCTCCCTGACTTATACCTTATACTACACAAAAATGAATTTTTGGTTAAGGACGTAAGTGTGAAAGGTAAACTTTAATTAGAAGAAATTAAAGAATACCTTTGTAACCATAAGTTAGGGAAGAAAACACATAAAAAGCGCTGAACACAGAGAAACAGTTAAATCATTCAGTTCAATTAAAATTAGAAATTTTTGCTCATGCAAAAACACCATAAAGGAAAAAAAGCCACAAACTGAGAGAATACAAAGGTGATATGTGATGAGTGTCCAAATAATTAAATAACTCTTGCAAATCAATAAAAATGATAAGCATCCCAATTTTTTATTATCCCTCCCTTTTTTATTCTGTAACATTTGTTTTATTGAAGTAACATTGGAATACAACACTGCATATAAAAACCCAATTTTTAAAATGGACAAAAGATATTAATAGTCATTTTACAGTGTGGCCAATAAACATGAAAAGATGCTCAATCACATTAGTGTCTAAGTTCACAATGTGATAGATAACATTTTACACCTACAGTAATGAAAAAAATTTAAAGTGAGACACTGTCAAGTGTTGATTAGGGTTTGGATCCATGAGATCTCTTATAAATGCTGAGAGGTGTGTAAATTGGTACCATCAGTTTAGAACACATTGTGATATGCTCCTGTCACTAAATTCTAGACAACAGTGTGATATGACTGCTTTGGCAGGGAATTTAAAAGGAAATCATAGATAATGAGACAACCATAGGAAAATCTGAAAATCTCTGACATGTTCCTGGGGATCTGAAGGGCTGTGCACATATGCAAAGATATATGCATGCCCAGCAGAGAGCTGGAAAAGCAAAGGGCCCAAGTCACGCACTTGTGGCTGACAATGAGGCTCTGTGTAAGAAGAAAGTAAAAGCAAAGGCTGTTGTATAACTGACTAAAGTTTGAAAGCATGCTTTCTCACACAGATCCTCTTGACATACAGATACAGCATTTAAGAAAATCTAACCACTAGTCACTGGCTACCAAATTATACTTACCCGGGTATAACCCACAGAAATCCAGATTTAAAAATGAAAACAAGCACTTTTTTAAAAGCGAGCAGAGAGCTCAGGGGCCACATATGCAGGCAATATAGAATCCACAGAATTAGCTGCAAAAAGCCACTAAACAAACACCAACAAGAAATATAACAGTAACAACACACACACACACACACACCCAGAACAACAAAACCCTGAGGGTGGAAGAATTTGATCCCCAAGTTGTTACAACAGAGTATGTAAAATGTCCAGTTTTTGACAAAAGAAATAATGAGTAAAGTATTTTATATATACAGGGGTGAAAAGCAGCTACAGGAACATGTCCCCAAGGGAGGCCATACTTGGAATTTAATACACAAAGACTTTAAATTAGTTCTTATAAATATTTTCAAGGAAAATCATATCTAAAGAGTTAAAAAAAAAAGTATGAGAACAATGTCTCACTAAATAGATAATATCAATAGAGAAAGAAGTTGCAAAAATGAATTAAACCAAAAATCTGGAGTTGGAAAGTATAACTGAAATGAAAAAATCACTTAGAGGAACAAAATAGCAGATTTAAGCTAGCAGAAGAGAGGAAGGATAAAGTTGATGCTAGGTCAGTATTATTCATTCTGAAAACCAGAAAGAAAGAAGAACTAAGAAAAAA